ACTTCCGTGTTATCTCGACTACTTTAGGTTCACAACCGTGTTATCTCGACTACCAAAATATTTCCAAGACTACCTATAATATGATCAACCGTGTTATTTCGACTACTGCAATTTTTTAAATAATAAAAATATATAGGTTAAATCTATTCTGAATAATAATATAAATCTATTTTGAAACACGATAGAATGGCATAAAAATGTGTATAGGAAAAATTGTAATAATATAATATAATATAAAAAATAAATAAAAAATGTAGTTAATAATTTTTTTGAGGAGGAAAGCAGGTTTTAATATCCATTAAAATCATATTAAACGGTGGATCGTTACCAAGGTTTTGTCGCCAAACAAATTCAGTCAGGTACTGAGGTACCTATGAATCTAGATGATGGCGAGCTATTCCTCTATGTTTTTTGTAAGGGGATTTTATACCGACCGTTTTTAAGGAGATGAGTATAGGCAATTTTTAGACAATCTGATTAGTACGTCCGTGGGTCGGTGCATCCAAATTGCATGCCGAAAAAAATAATATAAATTGGAATGTCCAAATTGTATGCTTTTCTATACACGATTACCCACTGATAAAATGTGTTAGGTTATTAAAATAATAAAATATAATAGATAATGTTATCATTGAAAATAATATTATTATGGCCTACAATAGTTTAATACATTATTACAGTCATGAACAAACATTTATTTTGTAAAACAAATACCAAGCCGGTTCCTTAGTTTTTATTTTTATTGTTATACTCAATATACTCATAATGTTAGTTATTTTGAATTTGCATGTTGTTACAATTCAATATATTATTTTGTACTTCAACATTCTGTTTTTTGTGACATAACCTTTTCATCACGTTTAATCACATCGTGAAATCAGTGTAAAAAGAGTCAGTTTTTTTTAAGTTTGTATAATATTAGTACTTAAAAAAATTTTAAGCAGTACAAAAGCTCATTCATTTTGTAGTACAGAACTTATAGATTTTAATGGTGTTATTAACTACGTTAACTGTTGAATACCTGATCTTGCATATTTAATTTAACTTTGTTTTTGCTTTTCCTGAAAAATTTGATTTTAATGACAACCCCTTTTTCACGAGCAACCGCGAATTATTCTCGTTTTTCCAGCTGTCATTTCATTAATGTAACCTACCAAATTAGATCTAAATTGCTATTAAAAACCACCCTATAAGTTGGAGATTGAAGCATTTTTCTGCTTAATTAATTTTTTCGGCTTACAGTGACTTCAAACATACAAAAAATAATAAAAATAATGTTGACACAATTTTCTACAATATTGCGCTCCGCTCAGAAACTAAAAATATGCGTGATGAAATATCCGTATACACTATAAATAATATATTATTTACGTTTGTGTGATTATTTACATAATATTATTACCTATAATATTGTACCTGCAATCCAGAGTGATCGATATGTCCATATCATATTAAATTATGTCATTTCATGTCTTGTTTTTAGGTTAAGTACTCATGATGTGTGAGCCAGAAAAGATTGTGGGTCGCGGTGGAATTGCAGGCCTAAAAATATTAAAGTCTGAAGAGACTTTAGAGAAACGTTATTTTGTATTGTATTTTTTACCGTAAACTTATTTTATTTAAATGTGAATAATTGTGTGATAAATGACGATTAATTCAGTCACACGTTTTGTAGTGTATCTATAGTACATTAGTACCTACTTAGATATTATTATTTAATAATTTTTACTGTTAAAATATTATTGAATTACGTCAATGTGTATAATGATGACATTTATTTCATTTTTCTAGACTTTTGCGAATCTAATTTTATTTAAAGTTACTTATGGTTATTGATTTATTACACAACTATTGATTTAATATATTATAAGTCGATAACGGACGATTATGAAACCACGTTGCTTTTGGAAGATGACGAGGATGGCGAGGATCACGAAATGTTTAACGCTGGTGTTACTAACAGGTATATTTTATTATTTATTACGTTCCTACATAAGGGCAGTTGTATTTTAAATCCCATAATTTTATTTTATGCGTCCCCCCCCCTTCTCCATTTTTATTACCTTAGTAAAAGGTTTTGAGAGGGTGTGGAATTTTCCAATCACAACGTTTTAAACAACTTATTTTAAATATGTTTGATACATTTTAACGTTTTGTTAATTGTTTAAAACAGTTAAAACCTGTGTATATCCTTTCGCCTTTTGCTCATATCACTACCTAGGTGTTGTCGTTCTGTCTATATTAACGAGGTCTCGGAGAATCAACCTCGGTGTCTAATATTATTATTAGGGATCAGAAATACCTTATGTGAAGGTAAACGTAAATGTAAATATATTATATTATATGTATCTGTTATTAAATATCAATGTATTATTATTATTACAACATCGAATCTTATAATAACAATCTTATTATATCAAACATCAAATAATAATATGTTAGAGCAGGGTTTAAACAAAAAATACCGTTTTTTTTTTTTGATTTTTTTTCAAAATGAAAAAAATACAATACTTCTTCGAATATGGTTGAACCCGCACGACCGTGAACATGGTGTGAAACCAATCATTAAATATTTTTTTGGGGTAAAGTATCATATTGTTATCAAAGAAATGGTATTAGACTGTAGTAAAACCGACGTAGAATGGTGTGAAACATTATAGTCTGACCACAATTGAAACCCAAGTAGTGTCTTCAACAGATATTTTCAATGGTAGGGGTTCGGTAAAAGATTATGTACTCCACTTTACCCAAGGGATCATAAAAATTAATACTTACACAATTTATGTACTCTGCAGGACTGAAACGGAATTGATATGTCAACAAACGTTCGAGTATCACTGAAAAAAATATCGTAGGTAATATTTACAATATACTATTGTTAACGGTTAACAACATTTAAATTGTTATAAGAACAATATTTTGTTATTTTAATAATCGATACTGTTGAAATAACATAATATATTATCAAAATGAAAATATACATTGTTGTAGAAAATTCTACTAAAAATATTACATCGTCGTCTCAGAATGAAAAGGTTCTAACGCAATTTATGTAATTGTTCAGGGAAACATTTTTAAGTAGGACATTTAATAACTTTTTTCACCATAATTACTAAATCGTGAAAATTGTATGCAATATCAAGAAAGTTCCAAAGAACACAACTTTACCTGCAATTTGTCTTTCCTCAATTATTGACTGAGTTAATTATAAAAAACCAAAATATTAGTTTTAGAATTGAAAGGTTTTACGTGTAGAACTTTTTCATTCTGAAAATAAAAATTATTTATTTAGTTAGAACTTTTTCGTTCTGATTTGAATCATTTTTTCTATGCAGTGATACCAACTTCTAGTGTAAACTATGTTATAAATTATACATTTTTTTATTATGCAATATTTTTAGTTTTTAAGTTAAGTATTATTATAATATAACATACCAGTATATGTGGAGGGTGGGGGTTCACCCACCCCCAGGAATTTTTTTTTTTGTGTATGTGCCTGGACATACCTACTATAAGTAATAAGTTACAATTGTACGGTCCATTGGCGCAACTAGTGTAGGGAAGGGGGGTATATTGGAAAGGTGTTGACCAGTTGCCCCCCACGGCTGTTATCGGGATTTTAAAAATATACTAGTTACTCTCAATCAAATGTAATTCAAATTTCAATGTACCATTTATTATAATACTAAAGTAGGTACTATATACATGTGGCATGTAGGTATTACCTACCTTATCACCGCAACAAAACAAAAATAGGCGGTAAGTTTATGCTGGAATGCTGGAATAATATTTTACTATGGCACAATAATAATTTATATTGTACCAGTGGTATAAGCGTATTATAACGGTACCTTTTCTGTTTTCATTCTGAGATATTACATTTAAGACCGTTTAGAACTATTTCATTCTTAATTATTGTTTAGAATGAAAATGTTGTAACTGATATTTCTCGGTTTCGAGCTTATCATTCACGTTTTTATGAGTTAGAACCTTTTCATTCTCTGTATCTCATTGAATAATCAACGGATCGATCCGATTTCAAGATTGAATTATACAACAAAAAATTATAAATGATTATATGCAAAAAAACCATTTTTCAAAAAAATTGATTTAGAACCTTTTCATTCTGAGGTGACGTATTATCAAATCAACAATACTATTTTTATCTGGTTTTAATAATCAATAACTATCAATATTACACGGGAATTGTCAATATTATGAGTTATGACAATAACATTATCTGCGCGATAATATAAAATTGTTCTGCCGCGCCGTCGTAACCGCTAAACCACGTTTTTGTCTCCACTCTCCGATCTCCATTCAACATTGTCTTGTTACTCAGTTAAATTGGCGTATTTTATACTTTTTTACTTGACTGTGACTTGTGATATTCAACTTCTACTGTTATTGTTGGCTGTTTGATAAACTAATAAGGTAAGTAAAAATGATTTGCTATATTTACGAAATTAATATTGGAGATTTGCAAGCTTTGGTAACCCATTATAAAATTATCCATTAATTAAAGCCCAATAGTCTATATTCTTGCTTAGAAAGTTCTTGCACTCAATCATTCCAGAGTTTATCTTCTTTTAAAAGGCATGTAACAAAAAAACATTTAGTGCATAATCCTACTTCTGAAAATACACAAGCTAACGATTATGTTATACAATTATTGTATGTAATCTTTGTAAATATTATGTAAATACTGCTTTTTTATTTATTCTTTATAGCTTTTAAGTCTCGTTTTAAGTACAGCTTTTAGTATTTGGCAAATTTTGGCTGTAAACCAATATAATGGACACGGCAAACAATAATTCAGATACCCTTTCAAGTAATGGCATTTTGCAGGTGGAAGATGGTTTTAATGATATGCATGCAAGTTGAATTAATAAATAATTATAAATTTATATTATGTTGTATATACTTGTTTGTGAATATAATCAATAATAGGCATTTCATTTATTAAATAGAATTTCAATTTGGAATCATCCACACTAGAAATGCCATTATTACAAGGTTATGAATATCCTATTGAAGATTTGCAACCACTACATGATTTGCTAAAAAGTTGGAAATTAGGATTTCTGTATCAAACGTTACTCGGTTAGTGTACCTTTATGTTACCTATACGATTACAATGCATACTAGGTACATAGTTATATATTTTTATTTTAAATTAAAAATGTTTTAGATGAATTAATTGATATTCAAGTTCTAGCAGTTATGAAATCGGTTCAAGTATATGAACTTCTCAATAAATTTCCATTAGGAATTAAAATAAAATTTAGTAATTACTTAGAAAATTGGCAAAACGTTCAGAATGGATCATCAAATAATAAGTTGGACACTGCAATACTACCAAAAAATACAAAGTCCTTCGTTCAAGAAGAACGTGTTGTTGATATTAATATAAATATGGGTGATATATTAACCTCATCTACTACTGGATCAATGATTATTGATTATTATAAGATAAACAATAAGTTAAATGACAATATAAGATCGTTATTAGTGGAGACTGTGATTAGTTATATTATAACGACAAAAAAACAAATGTCAGTTAATTTAGCTGACTATATTGGGAATCAAATAATTGCAATGTTTCCATCTGAAGTAAAAGTAAATTACACTTCAGCGTAAATTATTTTATATATAATACTACCTACCTAATAAATACTACATTCCAAAAATAGCGCACACTATTTAATTTTATAATATAAAATTATTGTAGTGAATAATAACTTTTTTAATTTATAGGATACATATTTTATGAAACATGAGACAAATAAAAACCCTAAAGGTAAACTACTAAACTGTATGCAAAATTTTACAATTCTATGAGAGCTTTAAAAAATAGTGGCCTTATAATACCTTCCAATGCTCATGTTAAAGTTCCTGTAAAATCAATAAATCGCAAGAATGTTGGTAAGGATTTTTAAATGCTATTGTAAGTGATTTATATTTATTTGTTGTTTATAATTATAATTTAATTACAGAACCAGAAACTGGTATTGAGTACATATTAGATCAAATTATGCATGACAAAAATTGTTCATTTCCTGATCTTGAGAATAACTGGAAAGCTACGACAAACTATAGGTTAAATGAAATTCAAAAAGCATCAACAACCAGTGATATATTAAACAAATGGATTGGATTTACACTACCTCTTGGATACAGACTAGTAAATTAATATTTAAATTTCATCAATAAGTTCTAACTCAAAATTAACCAGTTATTGTGTAATATTATGTTTGTTTAGATTGATATTGATTTTTGTACATTGTACCCCAACTGCCCTAACTTAGTATCAATTTTTGAAGAAAAATCAGAAAAATTGATGGATTTACTAAATGAAAAAATCAAAGATAAATCAAGTCTTATAATTTTTGAGAGTTTGAAGAATTCATCAAACATAATATGTCAAAGTAAGAATTTTTTTATAAACCCACCTACAATAGATTTTTAATATATTATCTTACTAAATCTATTAAAAATTTATGATTTATAATGTGAATTTTAATTTGTTATGTTAAATGTAAATATTGTATTATACTGTTATGGTAAATATTATTTTTGTAAATGGTGTTGATTTCCATAATCAAGATTATTATTATATTATTATACTTTATTTATATTGTATGTATTTATATTTTTGATTTTAGATGGTAAAAATACGGTGTTATTTTATTTATTGCATGCAATATTTGTTCCTACGTCCAAAAAGGTGACTAATTATGATAAGGGGAAAATAAGCTTGGTGAAATATTCAATCAGACTCTCAGAACAGCTTTATGATCTTCAAAAATTCAGTTTGTGAAATGGAAGAATATATCACATGCCGCAGCAAAGAAAAATCCCTATTCAGCCGTGTATACTAATAGTTGGTACGCCAACTGATCCAAAAGAAATACTAGTTTTTTTTGATTCTACAAAATATAAAGTGTTTTCCATTGTACATGCAATTGACATTTGTTTCAAAATATTTCATTTATTTAATTTGGAATATCCATCACAATCAATAACAGTTTGGATATTTATTCAAAAATATTTTTTTTCTTTGACTACAAAGTTTGATAAACCTTGTCACCTAATAGGTCAAATATTGTCCGATTTAACTAACTATTAAGTAATATATAATTTGTTTTCATAAATTTAAAATAAGTATATATATAATCAGTATAGATATTACTAGGTATATATTAGATACATTTATTTGTTTGTTTTTTTTTTATTAATTAATTATCATATTTCAATGATAGGTATTGCCTAATATTTAGTATAATAAATTATATTCGAAAAAAACTAATAAACCTTGTCAAATATTAGGTTAAATATTGTTTCATTTAAATATAAGTACCAACTTGTTTTCATATAAAAGAAGTATAAATTTTTTTTTTTTTAATATTATAATTATTATTATTATTATTAATGTATTATTAATATTATTATTTATCATTATATTTCAATAATAATAATTTATATTAATATTAATGTATACGACGGCCAAACGTTGTCGCACTGTTACAACGATCGGCACTGCAAGTTGTACGGCGACCATTGTTGTAGGGACAGTAAGTTTTATGACGAGCCAGGGCAGACTGTGGCCATCACCGGCAGCGTGTACAACAACAGCCGGTACGGGTGTTACAATAAGCACGGCTTGGACTCGGTACAAGAGCTGTTGATCGGCAGGTGTCTGCGTGTGGCTTCACTAGCTGAACGTGACAAGTGTGAGCGGCGCGACGATGATTTCATATCCACCTACCCGGTGTCAAGCGGTGACGGGACACACACAATATATAAGAACGTCTGGTGCGCGTTGTGTCACGGAGAACGTCGGCGGGTCGTTTACTGGAAACCTTTATGCGACTGTTGCGGGCACGACAAACGGGTGTTACCGGTACAGGTTCGGCTGGAGAACGCGTCCGACCACACCCTGTTGTACCGGCCGAGACGGCAAGTGGTACTACGCAGACTACAAAAACAGGACGTTATTCTCGTGTGACTACAAGATCCGGCCACCGGACTCGATCGCCACTCCACCATTGCGCCCGTGCGTCGGCGAAGGATCCGCTGAAGGTATCGTGGACGGCCGTCCCGTCGGCACGCCCACCGCCATGGCATTGGCGTGCGCGTCACACACATACACCATTTTCGAGTACCCGTCAAGCGATGGCAATAATATTCGCGTGTTCCGAAACGTCGACTGCGCCCGGTGCAACGGCTTGACCATTAACCAGTTGATGTGCGACACCGCATGAGGTGTGATATGAAAGAAGATATGAAAGATGAAACGGTTCAAATTATAATTATACATATAAATTATAATTTGAACCGATTCATCTTTCATATCTTCTGGCATATCACACGCCTGACAATATACAACATTTAGATATTATAAACAAGAAATAAAAAAAAAGTCTAGTAGGTAGATTTTTGAATTTTCTAACTTTTAAGGTATTGTATTTTTTTAGGCAATAAGTATTCAATAATATTTTTAGCCAATACGGAATATGTCTATTTAGGTAAGCACCTTTTTCAAAATACTTAGTTGATAACTTAAAAATATTAATATTTATTAGGTATGAGTATTCAATAATCAATTGTAACAAAAGTTTTTAATAATAGAAGAATAGGTACTAAGTAATAGACACCTACTAAAAATAGGTACTTTTCACCAATGCATTACATGGTTTGCATGAACGAGATTTGAAACATAAGCTCGGTTCTTTTTGTATTTTGAATACTTGAATGTAGGTATACTGTATACAATATACCTATAATACCTGTAGGTCAGTGTCATTTCCAGGCGGGGGATCTAACTGTCAATTCATTAAAGAGGAATGCCGCCGGAGAAATTTCGAGAAAATATTATAAATTTTTTCAGTGCTCTGTGAATATATTACGTAAAAGATAATGTATTAAAATTAAAATTTGAACGAATTGCCCCCCCCCCCCAATAAAATTCCCGGCTACGCCACTGGCCCACTGCTGTAGGTATATTATCATATATATTATGTATAACTTCAAGTGTGGATACACTCACTTGCACTAATGGATAGGTGTGAACAATTTTCTTGTTTTCGTCTTCCATGGTCTATACACGAATCGTCTATATAGGTGCAGGTAATTGTATAGGTAGTATGTAAAACTATGCAAGGATGAACACGTCTAATTGTAGAATAACTTCACAAACTATTCTACGACTACAACGAAAACAACGACCGTTGTACAACGCTGTCGTATGGATGTTTGTTTGCCTATTGATTCTTAGAGTATGCCTATATATTGTGTTAGTTGCTATGGAACAACAATATTACGCTAAAGGCTAAGATCATAGGTAATTATATAATAATATATTGCAGCTGGTTCCTTTAATTTGCCGATATCTAAATATTTTCCGTCGGTATAATACCTAATTGTTTGCATACGAAGTTTTGAATATTCCATTCGAAGAACGAGATACCGAAATATAATAATTAAACTACCTAGTACCTACCTATTTATTTATGAGTCAGAAATGTTGGAATCGTTAATATTATTACTTTAGAGTTATAATTACAATATAAAATGAAATAAAACTATATTATAAGTATGATTTTATTACCCACGTAATTACATACATCATGGTCTATCTATATTGTTTTAAAGAAGTGTTCTATAATTACATTTTTTTTCTATTAAAGCAAGATCCTTGGCATTTGGCACTCACATGATCATGCCAACAAAAAACCTCATAATCCAAACCTTCGACATCATTCCTAGTAATCCACTTGCTGGACGCTTGAGGCGAAAATGATGTAGAGATTCGCTTAAGTAATACAAAAATACATAAATTAATTAATTAATAAAAATAAATGTGAAGTAGGTACACATGTATTGTAAGTAGTATTACCAATGTATAATCGGTGGATTGTTCCGTCAAGCTATTAATGTAAAATAACTTCACTAAATCACATAGGTGCAGGCCGCAGGGCCTACTCCTTATACAGTTATGCGTATGGGTTCAGTCGGTGCAGATTTTGTGTACAATCGTATATAAAATAAAGAAAATAAATATAAAATATTTGCGTGAATGATCGAATAGATAAGATGCAATATCCAATAATTAACAAAAAAACAAAAAATGTTGGTATACAAATTGTAGGTATTTAGCAGTAAAATAATTTAATGATACTACAATTAATATTACAAAATGTTTTTTATTGTTAATTCTTATATAATATAAAGGTACCAAAAATTAAAACGTATCTATTATATTTAAAAAAAATAATAATGTATGGGTAATAGCTAGGGATTATAGTGGAATAATAAGACTTACTAACGAACAGAAGTAGTTACAACTTAAAAGTGACATTCGAACCTCCGTGATTACAATAAATTAAATTTCAAAAAAATATAAAGTGGTGAGAAATATTAACTAAAATTCAGGTAGTTGTTCAAAAGCGGTGACATAAATATAAATACCTATTTAATATAATAAAATTTAATATAACATTATGCAAATATATCGCTACCATAGGCGGAAATTTGGTGAAATTACTGGGGGGGCTGAGCATTATATTTCTCATTGTACCTATATAGGCACTATTGTACTCGCAATTATTTATTTCAACAAGATAATTTACAAAGTTCGACATACTAAACAATTTAACCTTAATAAAGTACAAAAACAATAATGTGCCATAGGTACCTTGAACATTTTATTCTAAACAAAAATAGCATTAAATTTATTTTATTATTAAGTTATTAAATTAATTGAATTATAACCAATTTAATATAAGATGTTAAAACAAAGAAGCCAAGTATATAACATAATAAGTGTACTTATATATTTATTTCAGCACAATATATCGGTTTTTATTAGAAAAAGCATTAACTATATCAGTATCTGATTTTGTAATTCAGATATTAAAAATGCATTTTTTAATTATACTAATTAGTAATTATTATATATTTTTATATATTTAGTCACATTATTATACAAAATTGTGAGGGCCAGGGGGGGGGCTAAGACCTGTACTTTAAAATTCTGAGGGGGCTTAGTCCCCTCTAGCCCCCCCCCCCCCCGATTTCCGCCTATGATCGCTACTACCATCCTAAACTCGATAGCGTCAAGAAAATGTCTACACTGCAGTTACATTTGTACTACACCGCGGAGACCACCCTGCACAATATGCGTGTTGGAAATTTCAGCCGGGCGCCCGCTAAGTCGATGCACTGAGCGAGGTGGCCGCTGTGGTGGTCTGAGCAAGGCCGGATTAAGAACCTATTGGGCCCCGGGGTTGAAATTTCATATGGGCCCTTTTGACAAGGCACGCGTTAAAACAAACTGGCTACGCCCACAGGAAGATACATTTTTCTAACTATTTCACAAATGGCAATTACATTATAAAATTATAAAATGAATAGGTAAGTATATGTAATTTATATGTCTATAAAGTATACAACCACTATTCACTAATTGTAATATAATAAAAGTAAAGACGGCAGAAGCTGATATTTTACAAATTTAGTTTTGCCGCTACATATATTTTCAAATACCTAATGACTTATCAGTTTTGGTCTTTGAATATAAATGGCACCACACACATAATAGAGACATATCATATTAAGTATGATAGAAGAAAAATTTTTTCCACTACTTGAAATATACGATTTCTAAACTATTTAAATGATATAATTGAAAAATTAACAAAATGTACATATCAGCTTCTGCCATCATTCCACAGAGTTAATACTTCATATTTCATTAATTTAAATTCAAATTTTCATACCAACTTTTAAATTTATTAACATTATACTTATTTACAACAAATATTAACTAACAGTTATTAAATAACAGTAAAATGCGCCTTTCCTACAAATAGGTATTTACTATTTAGGGCCGTTCTTACAATGTCCTGTAAAGTGTCGGTTAACGCTAACCGACTAATAACAGATTTTATTACCGGCAGAATTCTTCCGGTTAAGTGTCGGTTAACTTTAACCGGACATCGTAAGAACGGCTCTTAGTTGTTTTTGTTTAAAAAAATGGTTTTTAAAATATAAAAAAACTATTCTTTAAAATCACTGAAAAATGTGTATCAGCTTAAAATTGTTTGAGCCCCTTTCATTTTGGTACTTAAAAGGGCCCCGGGGCTTCCGCCCCGGCTAGACCCCCCCTTAATCCGGCCTTGGGTCTGAGTATCGGACACGGACGGTTGTTTGCGGAACACGGCCAACTTCTGCACGGTGATTCGGTTCCAGTCGAACGCGACGAATATGAACACGCCCCGCAGCGAGTTGAGTGCCGTGTTGAGCGTCCAGGCGACGTCGCTGTCGGTGAATGCGCCGACTATCGCGAACACCCACGCAGGGCCGGCCCTAGGGGGGGGGGGGGCAAGCGGTGCGACCGCACCGGGCCCCGCGCATGGTGGGCTTGTGCGGGCTTGTTACGATTTACGAATATCACTTTATCTATAAATAAACATAATAATATTGTCCCCGTAGCAGTAATACGGATATCGCGACCCGTGTTGTTTTCTTAGGAAACTGTTTGTTATCGACGAATACCAATTAGAATAAGTATATGTACTATGTCTATATTTTAATATCTTACCTTGATTGAGGGGTGGAAATCCGAAACGTACTATTGCCAAAATTGGCAAAAACGAGTTAGATATCGATTCTTATAAAAAAAAACGCCGACAAATCGATTGGTGTTGTCAGAATAGACCAAAACGTACTATTTCCAGGTCAAATCAGCTGTTAAAAATGACTGCTTAATCCAAAACGAACCTTTTTCGTGCATAAAAATTATATTTAGATAATCAAAACGTACTTTTTCCAGTTTTACGCCAAAACGTACTATTGCCAATGTTAAAATAATAGGCACCAATCATTAACTATACCAAAACGAACTATTTTCGTAAATTATTCCAAAACGTACTTTTTTTATGTTATGTCAAAACGTACTACTGCCCGTATTGTAGGTATAGCGAAATAAAATAGTTAATCCAAAACGTACTAAAATATAATTTATAATTTATAATATTCACAATCATTAAGTTTGAAATTAAATTAAAAATATAATCCTAGATTATTAAACACATTTGAGTCGTTTTTAATAGAAATAATATATTATTAAATAATTTAAAAAATCATCCTTGTCTTCAAAATTACTTTTTTATTTATAAACGGTTTGTTCATATTGAAACAATAAATAAGAAATTAATAATATTTTTATTTTGGAAAAAGCACATTTTGGAGTATATTTTAATATTTAATTAGGTTTTCCAAAATGAACTATTTCCATTAAATTTTCCAAAATGTACTATTTCCATTAAATTAATGGAAAAGGTATAAGTTTTGGATTATTTTACATTTTTATATGACAAAAAAATATGTAGATGTAGAATAATTAAAGTCATTCTATCTAAATTTTAAAAACAATACTGATAGGTAATATTATTTTCACAGGCAATTTAAAAAAGTCCCTAAAAAATAAAATAAATGTGTATATTGTATAATAATTAATAAATTAACATATACAGCCATTGGCCATATGGGGCCCCCTGAAATTCTGCACCGGGCAACGAAAACCATCGGGCCGGCACTGCACCCACGTCAGGCCCATCATCAGCGACGGGCGCACGTAGATCTTGAGATTCCTGCGAGTCCGGTTGATGGCGGTATAGCGTTGCTGCAGTGGCCTCCACTGCCAGACGTCTTGAACCCATCGTCCGGTGTAGAGATCAGCCGGACAGCGCCAAAGCGTTCTTTGGTTAGGTTAGGTTAGGTTAGTTACGACACGTGGTTGGCGGCGATCGCGGTTCCGGCCGGCAGCATGAACAGCGCGACCAGTGACTGCGGGTTCCGGAACCAGCATTCGTAATAGAAGTTGGGCCTGAGCTCGGGGAACAGCGATCCAGGGGCCAATTGCAATTGTATGGTAGAGGACAGTGCAGTGAGTGCGGCGGGCGCGAGCCAGGCAAACATCGAATATACGATGAACCGGCCGTGACGCTGGCCGCCGGCCACCCGGAGTTTCTTCGTGGACGATCCAAACGTCGGCCGACATAACGAACATCCGCACGTGAAAGCGGCCAGGAAACCGAACTGCATTATGGTGAGCAGTCCATTGCCCGGGGACACTGCTTGCAGAGCCACCGACAGATAGCCCACGTATCCCTGCAACAGCAAGCCCGTAGACAGACTGGCCAGGTTCTTTTCGGGGGCAGGTTCTTTGGCTCAGCGCCCGTACAACATCCACGGAATCCGAACAGCACGAGATGCGCGACCAGCGCGGTGGAAGACACGCACGATCCAACCACGCCCGCGTACGACAGGTACACAGATAGGCGGTACTAGACCCTCTTGGCAGGGGGGGCCAGAAAATATTTAAACTATCTAACTATATGTTGGGAAGGGGGGGGTCGTTAATGGGTGACTTCCCCTTCACCCCAATAAAACCCCTTCCAATTTACTCATTGAATAATTTTGTAAATATAAAAGTGGGTAAGTGGATGTCGCTCTGCTGTACTGTAGGTTACAAGTGGGTCACTGTATAATGGATGGTATTAAATTTGAATGCAATGATATAATATCATTGTATTAGAAAAACGATTCTGAGCGGAGACGGTACGTCAGTCTAGGTATAAGACATATTATATACTTTTCTATGGTATTAAAATATTAAAATATATGGAATTTATGAATAAATTCCTTAAAATATGCACAGTCTTATCATGAGCATAATTGTTATTCCTTATACTATGGTAGATTGTATGGATAGGCCATAATATTTTGATTTTTCAGTTTCATATATCCCCGAATAATATTTTTAAATTACAACAAAAACAAAGATCGTTAATATTGATTTTAATATGTAATTTCGTCCAAATTTGAATTTAAAATGTCTGTAAAAAATAACTGTGTTCATATATTTTTTAGATTTTTTGGTTACAGTATGAACTACTTACGAGAACCTTTGTGTTGAATTTGCAATCCTTAGCTATAAAAACTAAACATTTTATAATTTATTAATTACAATGATTGATAATTTTCGATTAATTTTGATAAATTTTGTCAAAATTCGATGTTTAAATGCTTATAAAAAAAAATTGTGCCTATGTATTTTTAATATTTTTCAATTGCTACTGTAACAATATATCAGGAACCTTGTATTAAATTTTTACAGTTTTTGGCGCAACAGATAAAACTTTATTGATATTTATAGAAAAAAAAACTAAAAAAATTTAACAAATTTAACAATTCGAATCTGTTCTTATCTATCGCAATGTTGTAACGTTTTGACGCACATCACCTTATCAGGATTCGTTGACAATAAAATCACAGAATAGATTAAATAATAGAATATTTTTTAAGTGTGTGTTATCATTCACAGATATTTTGGAACAAATTTCGTATTGAAAAAAAAAAATTTATATATTTTTAGAGTTAGGAAACCGAGATTTAAGGAATTATGTATTAATACAGGTACGGTTCGCAGGAGGGGCAGTTGCCTACTCTGCCACCCCCGTAGTACCGCCTATGGGTACACCGCGTAAGCTGATTGCTCGTACGGTTTGAGCAGCCCGTCCGCGTCCTCGGTGCACACGTCTTGTATAGTAGAGACCAGTGGCGTAGCCAGGAATTTTTTATGGGGGGGGGGGCTAAGTATACAAATACAATGTGTTTTTTATTTACGCTTTTAATTTTTTTATTAATCTTGATAAAATTCTAAGGTCAACATCGGTCAATGGGGGGGGGGGGGCTATAGCCCCCTTAGCCACCCCCCTGGCTACGCCTCTGGTAGAGACCCGCCGCCCTTGGCAGCTACCGTCGGGCGGTCTCCCGTTCTGTATCGGACGCGTTTCTTGTACGCGTACACCGTCCCATTGCTCAAGGTTCGTCCGTCGTATTCGCCTTGGCCAAACGTCACGAACGTCAAGCACGCGCCCGACACACAGTGGTCGAACAACTATAAAATAGGTGGCCAAAAATCATTATTTTAAATATTTGAAAACTTTAATTTTCTAAAAATAAAATGTTTGTACAAGTTCTCTTATTGTATTTAAAAATATTTTTTTTTTGACAAAACACTAATTTAAGTACATAAAATGCTATGTATAGCATAAATATAATGTTGATAAAACATCGATGTATTGTAAATAGTCGAAATATAATTAAGATAAGTTCTCTGTTAATTATGGTATTAAATTGAGTGATTATCGTCGGTACTTATAAAATGTGATATGAGATATATATATGTATATACTGGGTGATTCTTTTATCAAACAACACTCATTATTTCAAAAAGTATAAATTTTTTTGATAATATTTTTTTACATAGTTTCAAGTCGCTTATAAAACAACGTTTTTACTAAAAAATTATATTTTTAAATATTTTTTATCCTTTTAATTTTTAAGTTTTTTACTTTTTTGAATGACAACATAGGGTTTTAATTTTATATTCCAAAGTAGAATATTTTTCTTAGTATTTTGATACATGGAAATTGAATTTGGGGAGAGTAGTTTATGAGTTATAAGTATTTAAAGTTTAGACGAGCGGAGTGGAGTGGTTCGGGGTTACCCCGCGAAATGTTTGTCCACTTCACCGCTCGTCTAAACTTTAAATACTTATAACTCATAAACTACTCGCCCCAAATTCAATTTCCATGTATCAAAATACTAAGAAAAATATTCTACTTTGGAATATAAAATTAAAACAATATGTTGTCATTCAAAAAAGTAAAAACTTAAAAAATTATAAGGATAAAAAATAATTAAAAATATAATTTTTAATAAAAACGTTGTTTTATAAGCGACTTGAAACTATGTAAAAAAATATCTTCAAAAAAATTTATACTTTTTGAAATAATGAGTGTTGTTTGATAAAAGAATCACCCAGTATATAATGATAGATAAAGGTACGTGAGCGTATGTACCATAATATATTTGATAAAATATTATTCTTAAAACTAAATTAAACTTATATGTCATTAAAAACGTAGATATTTAGTATGTTTATTCATCGAGTTACACGACGAAAATTATATCAGTTCGTTGGGAAAAGTTCAGTGAACAATACTAAATAAAAATTAGCTGCGCATATTTGCGCTATTTTTTTTAACCAGTGATTCAAATTGCGTGTATACCATTTTGGTATTATCTTTCTTTATAGTGAAATAATATATAATAATATATTTATAAATATCATAGTTTCAGTTATTTATTTTTGGCCACCTTTTTTAGTTTTTCGACCACTGTGCGCGCCGGTGGTTCGCACATCAACTGGTTAATGGTCAAGCCGTTGCAACGGGCGCAGTCGGCGTTTCGGAACACGCGCCTGCCCCGGTCACCGCTTGACTGGTACTCGAAAAGGGTGTATGTGTGTGACGCGCACGCCAATGCCATGGCGGTCGGCGTGCCGACGGGACGGCCGTCCACGATACCTTCAGCGGATCCTTCGCCGACGCACGGGCGCAATGGTGGAGTGGCGATCGAGTCCGGTGGCCGGATCTTGTAGTCACACGAGAATAACGTCCTGTTTTTGTAGTCGGCGTAGTACCACTTGCCGTCTCGGTACAACAGGATGTGGTCGGACGCGTTCTCCAGCCGAACCTGTACCGGTAACACCCGTTTGTCGTGCTGCCCGTAACAGTCGAATAAAGGTTTCCAGTAAACGACCCGCCGACGTTCTCCGTGACACAACGCGCACCAGACGTTCTTATATGTGTGTGTCCCGTCACCGCTTGTCACGGGGTAGGTGGATATGAAATCATCGTCGCACCGCGCCGCTCACACTTGTCACGTTCAGCCAGTGAAGCCACACGCGGACACCTGCCGATCAACAGCGCTTGCACCGAGTCCAAGCCGTGCTTATTGCAACACCCGTAC